TTTCTCTTTGACATGCATCACATGCACAGACCTGTGCATAGCCTGCTGCCCAGAACTGGAGGTTTGAATTGCAGTCCTTATCCCATCCTCAGCAATCATCTCCTTGATAAGCTGATGTGAATTATTAACATGTCCTTGATCTCCAGCAGTAGAAATATGCACATGCTCAGCCTGAACACTGCTATCATGCTCAGCAACTCCAATCTGACTAGAATTCCCCTTCTGAGAATCCCTCCCCTGTTCATGAGTAGCATTCACAATATTAACATTATCCTTCTCATTATTTCCAGGTTTATGATTTTGATTTTGCTTAGGTATCCATCTCTGTGTTTTCACAAACTTTCTACATGTTTTTGTGTCATGCCCAACCTGCTTGCAAATATCACACCACATAGGTTTTAGTTCATAAATCACCTTCTGAGAGTGTTTTTTCCCTTTTGGGTCTTGAATGATGATCTGATCAGGTAGAGGAGATGGTAATTTAACCTCAACTAACACCCTCGCATAAGCCAAACGCTGTTTATTAGCAGTTAGACTATCAGTTGCAATAGGACAACCAATAGCACTCACAATTTTAGAAATGCTCTTAGCATTCCAAAGGTTAAGCCTTAATGATGGGAGTTGAATCCACATAGGATAAACACAATCCTTAATTTTGTCAATCTCCTCACCATTGGACCATTGCTTCAATAACAAAGGTCTTGAACCAAAAAACCAAGGCCCTTTACATAGAATCTCATTCATCTCATCAATACTCTTGAATTTGAACAGAAACAGTCCAGGTTTAAGGAGGCAGACTTCTGACAACAAATTTTTCCAAGTTTTCTGCACATAACTTTCCATAGCTTTAAATTTGACATTCAATCCCATTACTTGACCAATTAGAGAAGATTGCCAAATTAAAATATCCTCATTTCACTTTATATCATCAAAAGAAACTGTATCCTTGTTATCAGAGGGGATATAGTTTAAATTCATCCCATTACCCAGTTTCCTATTGTCTGAGAACAGACTAATCCAGCTTTTTCCAATTTTATCCTCAGTTTCATTTGAAATCGAGGCCCCTTCAGCTTTTTCATTTGGTGAGGCTATCGTTTCTTCATTTCTTTTACCAGAATTCAATGTAGTAGTAGCTTTCTCTACATTCTGATTTGTATTCAAAGAAAAAGGAGAATTCAACTGGAAATCCTCCTTATCTTTACCTAGATCAACCTCATCTGCCCAAGACACTCTAACCGAACTACTAGAACCAGTAGATTGCTTATTGCGGTCAAGAACTCCATTAGAACCAAAAAACCCAGAAAATTGACGCTTGCTGAGATCACCATTAGATCCAGGAGATTTAAGCTTACTAAAATCAAGAACGTCATGAGATCCAGAAGATTTAAACTTACTAGACCCAACAGTGAGATCAAGAACTCCTGATTGGACATCCACAGGCACTCGATCAAGAACACCTTTAGATCCAGGAGATTGGAACTTACTAGAACCAGCAGAGAGATCAAGAACTCCAGATTGAACATTCACTGGTACTCTATCAACACGAGCACACTGCAAATTGTTTGAATTCAGCACATCAGCCATTGATCTAGATTTATTTGCCTCTTTTGGACCAGTAGATCCCATCTCAATGAAATCTTCATCATCTTCATCACTTCAGACATCAGAATGATCATCAGATGTCTCAGAAATCAGATTTGAGGCTCTCAATCCAATCTCTAATAACTTTTTCCCACTACTTTTCTTCTTCCTAGCCATCAGAAACTCAAAATTTTCTCCAAATTACCCGGCGGGAGCGCAAGATAGCATGACGAAAATCGCCCACTAACTTACACTGTCAAACCGCCCATTAGGAGAGAGAATTGATTGAACTAAGAGGGTTAGGTTTAAAAAAAATTTATTTTAGGGATTTTTTAATCATGAATACTGCTGGAAAATTAAATACAGAATTCAGGGTTATTCGAAGAAAGTAAGAATAAGTTTCTTTCTCTAAAGTCCATTTAAAATATGTGTGCTTGGTAGAATTTAAACCTGGGTTGCATTGGTTAGTCCTTCTAAACTCTATGTTATGGTGAGATGTTATATACTACAGATATCCATTTAATGGATGTTGCCTGTTTCTTATCAGCATTACTAACGTGACTGCTAACTCTAGATGTAGCCAAACAAATATCAGATATGATACTTTAGACAGAAAGTAACATCCCTATAATTTGCGCATATTTATGTTTTGAAATAGTTAATTCTTTATGTTTCTCAAGAACCAATTAATTTATATTCATAAAGAGTATTAGCACAGTTATAACAATAAAAATTAAACTTTTTATGATTTTTATCTATATAGCACGTCAAAAAGATAGAATTTTCATTCTTGAAGCTTGCTTGCTTCTCTGAAGTCTTTCATATCAATACAAAATGCCTTATCATGTTGATGATGATGGTTATGTATATTTATAGTAGTTGGAGGCTAAACGTGGAAAGTCCCAATAAAGGTAGAAAATAAAGGAGAAAATAGGGAAATGATATGTTATCCAATACATGATTATATGCCACCTAATGTAGAAGATATGATATCAGAAGAACATATAATACTATGTTTAATACTATGTGTGGTTACCTATTGACCTTTTCTTGAAATTCATTTAAAAGGTGTGCTTGATTTGATTTGGACCTAAATTAAAATAACATCTTATGCTCTCTTTAACTACACCAAGTTTCAGGTTTATACTCTTACAAATAGTGCCCTTGAGGTATATAATTATCCTTTTTAATGATCCAAGATTTGCATGAGAATTATGATCATTATAGTTCATCGTTATGAACTAAAGGAGGGTGAATATGATGAGTTTCACTTGTTTACATGAGCAAATCATCTCGGTACAGGCAGTAAAGCGATTAAAAAAAGGAACGAAATTCTCGTATAATCTTTTTTTCCCTTACGTGTATAGACTGGAGTATAGCAGCATTAGAGAAGGCTGAAATTTTGGAACCTGATTGATTATAGGAAGTCCCCCACAATGCAATTTAGTACATTTATGGTTATTACCATTTATGCATATTATTTTGTATTCATTTCAGAGACCAAATAAGTCCAATACGGAATTAATCTATTATCAATCTGTACGTCAAGATTTGTGTGGTAAGGGGAGAAATTAAAATGAGTGTTGCTACAGGGACTCTAAATAGGGTATCACATGAGGGGATAGGTGAGGTGTCCGCCCCTGCATCTAGCCCCCAGGGGCGGACACCTCACCTGTCCCCTCATGGGGTCCCCTATTTTGGGGTCCCTGAGGAGTTTTCCAATTAAAATAGACTGATGAATAAGTTGGGTAATCACTCCAAGTACGAAATTATTCAATGCTGGAAACAGTACATAACCAATCCAAAGAAAGTTCGAAACTTCCATATTCAAGAGGAGAAGAAACAGTAGAGCCCTCATTACTCAAATGGTTATGGAAGCATCTATCGGTGGAAATTGCATTTTAGGCTTTGATTATTCTAATTAATTTTTTGCTTTAATAGTTGGGAGGTGGGGAGAAGACTTTTGAAATAGTCATATGACTGAGTTTATTATAGTACGGGCTTACAGACCAGACTTTGTCTTGGTAGCTAAAACTAACTTATGGAAAACGATTGAGAGGATTTGGTTGCATTAATATAGCAATGGCTTTTACGGTACTGAATCTCTAAACACGCCCAAACATGAGAATGATAATTAGCATTCCATTTCCACATCTATTCCATTCCATTTCCACATTCTTTCTGTTCTCACTTGACTCAATTCCCGCGTACCAAACGAGGCGTAAGAGAATATGTACTAAAAATCAGTAACTCTATATGCAGGTTGTTGCCCTAGTTTCTACCAATATATATGGGCACTCTCTTGTAATTGTAACTTTATGACATATAAAGGGGTAGGGTTAGAAGAAAATGAAGTAGCAAATGTAAATAGAACAATCGGATTTGTAAATATATTATTTGGTTTGCAACTTTATAATTAAAAAAGGTTGCATTTTGTAGAAAAAACTCACAACAAATGCTACATCCAATTTAGAAGGAGAAAATGTTGTAGGCTTCAAATTAGAGAATTAAAAAAAAATTAATTCCACCTTATAAGAAAATCTTTTTAAATCTTTACTAAAAAACAATCTACGCCAAAGTTTTCTTATATAGTAAAATTTTGTAGGTTTTACCTAATTGTTTTCCAACCAAACGCTAAAGTTGTATTTGGAAATACACTTCCTACAATATAATTGTGAAGTTGATTTACTGCAATAAATGCTGCATGCAATATTTATTGCTGCAAAATTTGGTGCAATTTATTTTTGCAGCAAACCAAACTGCCCCAAAGAAAAGAAACCCTAGTGCGACCATGGACGTAGGTATCTTGCCGAACATGGTAGAAATCATGGTCCTTTGTGATCACTTTTCAGTTCTTTCTTTTTCCTTCCCACACTTGCAGGAAGATCTGATTCCTAACAATCAAGGTAGGAAGATAATATTTTCTTATATTGCTTGGTGAAGAGTATCTAAATAGAGAGTTAATATAATTGATGAAACTAACTGAAGATTACTAATATATTGCTTGGTGAAGAGTATCTAAATAGAGAGTTAATATAATTGATGAAACTAACTGAAGATTACTAACGTCACAAGTATGAAGCGTATTTTGACTAGCTAGTAAAAACATCGCAGAGGATTTCAGGGAAAAAGTATATCTTATCTTAAGTTGCAATTATAGAAACAATAAGTGATCATGTACTAATGTCATCTGCTGTACCGTGTCAACAGCCATGTCAGAGACAACTAGTAGTTACAGACAGTATCAGCATAAGAAATAACTTAAAATTTTCATCAGTATTGATTCAGTAATGTATTGACCTTTACATGGTCAAATATGATTCCTGTATAATCATGAACTAGGACTTGAAGGATATCTCAGGAAAACTACACTGTGTTGATGTTCCAAACAAAAACTAAAGAGGGACATTCAGGAAAAAGATCGAGAACAGAAGTATGATATTCTTAAAAATAAAAGACTTCCATTAATACCATTATGCAATGACAAATCATAACACCACTTCTTTTAATACGAGAACACTTCTTAAAATACAGTACCAAATACAGCAATAAACACAGCTTGAGAAGGGAGATCATAATGAGTTATAGAGCTCTCATTTCTAGAGTTCAAAAGCTGATGCTTCAAAGCTATCAGAAAGCCCAGTTCCAGTCTTAAATGTGAGCTTCTCCGATGAAGGAGTTTCAAAGTAAATCTCAACAACAGAGAGCCACAATAGAAGCTCCTTAGTCTTGACTCCCGTCATCTTCTTCATCTTGTGAGGCTCAACTAATGCGGTTACCTCAGTTGCATATGAAACCTGACGCTTGATCTTCTTGAAGGTGTGATTCTTACTCTTCTTCTGAAGTATCCATATGAATCCCGATACACGATTATATCCAAACTCCTCGATGTCCTCCATAGGAAACAAACCCTGTGGGAGGCAGAGCTCTTTCAGAAGTTCAACGATCTTCTTCTTGCACTTGGCATCTCCATGGATAATCTCTGCACCAGAACGGTGGCTCTCGATTGATTGGGATGCCATTACTTATCAAATGGTGAGCAGGTAACACAAGAAATAGCAAGAAGATGAGTTTGTTGTAGAGGGGCTGAGTTTGTTGTAGAGAGGTGAGAGAAGCTGTAGAGCGTAGTGAACTATTTATAGATGGATTTGGGGAATCTTTGCATCATAAGTTTTATGTATTGATCAGTTTTGTCTTTGGAATATTTGGTCTACGCCACAATAATTAGCATATATTATTGTTGGAAGATTAGTTTCCTGATTTATGACCAAAGACTTCGTCAAACATTGCTTGATTTGACATTACTAATGTAGTACGTATTTCATTCTGAAACATTCAATTCTGGCTGTAGAATATTTTAGGGATTTTTTAATCATGAATACTGGTGGAAAATTAAATACAGAATTCAGGGTTATTCGAAGAAAGTAAGAATAAGTTTCTTTCTCTAAAGTCCAATTAAAATATGTGTGCTTGGTAGAATTTAAACCTGGGTTGCATTGGTTAGTCCTTCTAAACTCTATGTTATGGTGAGATGTTATATGCTACAGATATCCATTTAATGGATGTTGCCTGTTTCTTATCAGCATTACTAACGTGACTGCTAACTCTAGATGTAGCCAAACAAATATCAGATATGATACGTTAGACAGAAAGTAACATCCCTATAATTTGCGCATATTTATGTTTTGAAATAGTTAATTCTTTATGTTTCTCAAGAACCAATTAATTTATATTCATAAAGAGTATTAGCACAGTTATAACAATAAAAAATAAACTTTTTATGATTTTTATCTATATAGCACGTCAAAAAGGTAGAATTTTCATTCTTGAAGCTTGCTTGCTTCTCTGAAGTCTTTCATATCAATACAAAATGCCTTATCATGTTGATGATGATGGTTATGTACATTTATAGTAGTTGGAGGCTAAACGTGGGAAGTCCTAATAAAGGTAGAAAATAAAGGATTCGGATCCTCTCCACTATAAAAAAAATAGTGGAGGGACCACTACATAATCACAACCATTGATTATCTAGTTGATGATTATGATTTTTTCTTTTAGTGCAAATTAGGAATGAGTGCAATACACGGGAGTATGGTAAGTGTTAGATTTAGATTGTATCATAACCGCCTACTAAATAATCAACGCTTGAGATTAAAAGTAGTGGTCTCTCCACTACTTTTTTGTAGTGGAGAGGATCCAAATCCAGAAAATAAAGGAGAAAATAAGGAAATGATATGCTATCCAATACTTGATTATATGCTACCTAATGTAGAAGATAATATATCAGAAGAACATAAAATACTATGTTTAATACTATGTGTGGTTACCTATTGACCTTTTCTTGAAATTCATTTAAAAGGTGTGCTTGATTTGATTTGGACCTAAATTAAAATAACATGTTATGCTCTCTTTAACTACACCAAGTTTCAGGTATATACTCTTACAAATAGTGCCCTTGAGGTATATAATTATCCTTTTTAATGATCCAAGATTTGCATGAGAATTATGATCATTATAGTTCATCGTTATGAACTAAAGGAGGGTGAATATGATGAGTTTCACTTGTTTACATGAGCAAATCATCTCGGTACAGGCAGTAAAGCGATTAAAAAAACTATAATAAACTCAGTCATATGACTATTTCAAAAGTCTTCTCCCCACCTCCCAACTATTAAAGCAAAAAATTAATTAGAATAATCAAAGCCTAAAATGCAATTTCCACCGATAGATGCTTCCATAACCATTTGAGTAATGAGGGCTATACTGTTTCTTCTCCTCTTGGATATGGAAGTTTCGAACTTTCTTTGGATTGGTTATGTACTGTTTCCAGCATTGAATAATTTCGTACTTGGAGTGATTACCCAACTTATTCATCAGTCTATTTTAATTGGAAAACTCCTCAGGGACCCCAAAATAGGGGACCCCATGAGGGGACAGGTGAGGTGTCCGCCCCTGGGGGCTAGATGCACTGTTCATGAACAGTGCATCTAGCCCCCAGGGGCGGACACCTCACCTGTCCCCTCATGGGGTCCCCTATTTTGGGGTCCCTGAGGAGTTTTCCAATTAAAATAGACTGATGAATAAGTTGGGTAATCATTCCAACTTCCAAGTACGAAATTATTCAATGCTGAAAACAGTACATAACCAATCCAAAGAAAGTTCGAAACTTCCATATCCAAGAGGAGAAGAAACAGTATAGCCCTCATTACTCAAATGGTTATGGAAGCATCTATCGGTGGAAATTGCATTTTAGGCTGTGAATATTCTAATTAATTTTTTGCTTCAATAGTTGGGAGGTGGGGAGAAGACTTTTGAAATAGTCATGTGACTGAGTTTATTATAGTACGGGCTTAGACAAGACTTTGTCTCGGTAGCTAAAACTAACTTGTGGAAAACGATTGAGAGGATTTGGTTGCATTAATGTAGCAATGGCTTTTACAGTACTGAATCATTGTTGGAGTTATTGTCTCTAATTGTTACTGTGCAAGCTAATCTCCTAATTGTACTATGCACACTAATCCTCCGACACATAAATTTACACGTAATGGTAGAATGATAAATCTGACGAGAACTGAAGAGGCATTGATACAAATTGAAGAATTAATGTGAAAAACCCCCATAAAGGTAGAAAATAAGGGAGTAAATACAGAGATGATATAGTACCTAATACATGGCTATATGCTACATGATATATGAGATACGATATTAAGAGAATATATACTACTATATTTAACATCCACTCTCAAACGGTATGCGGGTCTACCAATGGTAGTTCGTTAAGAAGAAGTGTGCTGTTGTTTTACTTGCAGGCGTTCGTTGCAATAGTAGGCGTGCTTCTGGTGGTTGAGGAATGAGGACTGATGGCCAGCATGTATGACTGAAGAGCCAGTAAGAGGTGTACTGGCCCGGAGACTCACAGCTGAATGGTAGCCTCGAGAAGTCCGCTGGACCAGTACTTTGAGCACAGAGCTGGTCGGAGGGGTGCTTGCTCGGAGAGCCAGCCAAAAGTTTACTTGGCCCGGAGAGCCGGTCAGAGGGAAGCTTGGCCCGAAGAGCTCACCAGAGGGATATTGGCCCCAGTTGGTTAGTGTTTGACAGTGGATTAAGGTGCAACAAAGTTGCTGTCAAAAAAGAAACAAAAAGTATAAGTTTGAAATTTGAGGTTAGAAAAATCAGGCCCGAACGGGTGCAGTCGTGATTCACTGCCCTAGAAGATAGAGGACCCGCCTATCGCCCTGGCGCAGTAGATCCTCTCCCCCTAGCGGTAAAAGCCCCCCGGAAATACCCGGCCTCTGTACTCGGAGGAGAGTAGCAGAGCTTCTGCTCAGACGAAGATGGTTGCCCAAAAAAATATAAGTAAATAGTAGCAGGGCAATTTTAAG